TAATAATTCGCATCGATGCGTTTAATATCTTTTTAGATCGTACGGGTAGTTTTTTATGTTTCATGAGTTTTGCATCCTTAAATACGTTTTTGTTGTATCATTTTATTCTTTTTAACTTTGGCGTTCTTTTATAAACACGAAAAAGTCTTTAAATACGAGTATTGAAGGTGTTAAAACATGTCTAATATGTTAAGAGTCAAAACAAATGACATGCTAACATGTCAGCTAAGATGTGTTAATTCGCATCTAAACGGGTTAAGCAAGTTAACATACATGCACGGCACTACTTTTTGTGGTGTCGTAAATGGGTTCATGCGATCCTGCTTATTTGAAGCCCAAACCTACTTAATCGCATGCCGTGTCGTGCTAACAGATCGTGTCGGGAATTGCCAGCCTCCACAGGTTCACTCATAGGAAAAGCTAGAAAGGGAAATTCCTCTGTAAAGAACTCCACGTCACGCGATATATATATAAAATTTAGAAAATACTTTTGAACTGTGCAGTCTATTCAACAAATCCTTTTGATTAGGGATTGGATATCTTATCCATTTTAATGACGTATCTAAAGGTTTTATAGTTAATGACTAACCTTGGGACTCCTCTTTCTAGCTCAGCATTTTTGTTGACATAGAAAGCAGGACAACTCCAAGGTGATTGACTCTTCCTGATGAGATTTTTATCAAGAAGTTCTTGGATTTCCTTTTGACAGAAATTCATGACTTCATGATTCATTTGGGAAGGTCTTGCCTTGGTTGGGATTTCCTTTTCAGAAAATTCTGGTTCATATAAGGTAAATCAACTATATGACATTTTCTAACTTTACCCAAAAAAAAAACTATATGACATTTTCTAGACCAAAAGGTATTAGGAATTGTCGAACATGGAGAAGCTTTTATATAATTTTCTAGATCATCAATTTTCTTTTTTATTGTGGGAATAGAAAGATTTTTCTCAACCTTTTTATGTTCAAGATCTTCTTTTAAATATTGGAGGTGATTTTCTTTGTTTTGTATAATACAATTTATTTCATAAATAATTTCAGAGCGAAGGGGGAATATATATATATATATATATGTATGTATGTATATATAGCAAAACTCATCCCCACCTTATTTTGTATTCGAAAAAAGAAGAAAATCAAAGAAAAGAAAAAAAGAAAAGAAAAGAAAGAAAGAGAGAAAAAGAACACAGTTGGGCCCCCTGGATTGAAACCCGTGATCTACTCCATCTCCATCCTCGACAGCCCATCTTCAAGATGTTGAACATCATCTGCCCGCGCACCGCGCATCCCCACACGGCGGGCCCCACTTCTCGGGACGGAATGACCATGCTGCCCTCCACCGGATCTATCCGTTGCCCGCGGATGCAGGGGGAGTGGCAGAGCTGCAAATTCAAGCAAAGTCCGAGCCCCATTTCCGCACGCCCAAAATTCAAAAAAATAAATAAATAAACGCACGAGATGGGATTTTTTGAAACTGGGCGGGGCGGGCAACTAACCATGGTTAGGCTAGGCGCTTCAACTCAATCATTACTTCCCCCCCACCCCCACCACCACCTTTGCTCGCTGGCACTTCTATAATTAAACCCACGGGTAAAACTGACCGCGGTTAACCAACCAGATATTTTTTTCAATTTTCCCCGATGGCGCCCTGCTATATATATCTCCCGACCTCCGCTCCTCGTTCTTCATACGCTCTGCGCCTTCTTCATCTTCATCTTCTTCGTCGGCGGCGTCTTGATAAACGCCGTTCTCCTCTTCGCACCTCCCTGCATTTTCCCCTCTCGCCCGTGCACCTTCTCGAGCCTCCTCCGACCTCGGTCCCGTGCGAGCGCCGAAAATGAGGGAGTGCATCTCGATCCACATCGGCCAGGCTGGGATCCAGGTCGGGAACGCGTGCTGGGAGCTCTACTGCCTCGAGCACGGCATCCAGGTGAGCCGCCTCCGCCCCCTCCTTCCTCGGATCTTTCGCCGCCGCCGCCGCCGCCGCCGTGCTTGTTGCGGAGGTTTTTTTTTATTTTTTTATAAGTGAGTTTGTGGTTCGCTGGTGGATGTGCGTTCTCTGGCGGCGAGGGTTTTGTGTTTTGGGGGATGTAGGTCGGTTCGTGTTGTGTTTTGCGTGGTTTAGAGGTGGGATCGGACTCAGCATTTGGTTAGCGACGCGGATATCGCGGCTATCGCGTGTGAAGATCTTTGTCCGTGATAGCTAGATCCGAGCTTTTCGGTTTGCGTTCCGTGAGCTTCAGTGCTAGGAATGCTCTAGATCCGGGCGAGATGGAGCTCGCATTTGGTTAGCGACGCCGATTATTGACGTCATCGCGTGATAAGCTAGATCCGAGCCTTTTGTTGCGCGTTCCGTGGGTTTCATTGCTAGAAATGCTCTAGGTCCGCGCAAGATGGAGCTTTGATCTGTATCTGTTGCACATTCAATCGTTTTCATGTAGATCTGGACAAAATGCCGCACATTGTCGTCCTGTTTCAATTGTTGGAGTCTTAGACCCTTAGGTCGAGCAATCACAATAAGATCTACCTGCAATTGGATTTGTATCCGTTCTTCGTACAGTTTGGTCTCATTGTCGTTGTAATTCTGAACTCTGTTGATGCCGACATTCATATATCTGAATGTCCGTTTCTTGCGGTTGCTTGTGTTGCTACGGTTATGGTCGTGTTAGATGTCATTGCAATGTGTAACATGATATCCTTGTATTCGTTAGTTCTAGGAGCATGTTCAGCTCATTATAATTGATTGGTGCTTTCCGTATTCTTTTCATAGCCCGATGGCCAGATGCCGAGTGACAAAACCGTCGGCGGAGGTGATGATGCCTTCAATACCTTCTTCAGCGAGACCGGCGCTGGGAAGCATGTCCCGCGTGCCGTGTTTGTAGATCTCGAGCCCACTGTCATTGATGAAGTGAGGACTGGAACGTACCGCCAGCTGTTCCACCCAGAACAGTTGATCAGCGGCAAAGAAGATGCTGCCAACAACTTTGCCCGTGGTCACTACACAAGTAATTATATTGATAACCCCTGATCTTTTATTATTGGTGGTCTCTGTGGTGAGGTGCCTAACAATTCTCTTACAATTTTGCAGTTGGGAAAGAGATCGTGGATCTCTGCTTGGACAGGATCCGCAAGCTTGCGGACAATTGCACTGGCCTGCAGGGATTCCTAGTGTTCAACTCTGTTGGAGGTGGTACTGGATCTGGTCTGGGGTCACTTCTCCTGGAGCGTCTCTCTGTTGACTACGGCAAGAAGTCGAAGCTCAGTTTCACCGTCTATCCCTCACCCCAAGTTTCCACCTCTGTCGTAGAACCCTACAACAGCGTCCTTTCGACCCATTCCCTCCTTGAGCACACTGATGTTGCAGTGCTTCTTGATAATGAAGCCATTTATGACATCTGCAGGCGCTCCCTTGACATTGAGCGCCCCACTTACACCAACTTGAACCGCCTTGTTTCTCAGGTAAATTGACTAGCCAGCTCATCTATCTAGTTTTGATAACTCAATGTCCTTTCTTGAAGCAATTATGAAAGTAAGATTTTGAATGTACTTCTCAATTCCTTGTTTCAACGCAGGTGATCTCATCCCTCACTGCCTCACTGAGGTTTGATGGCGCCCTGAATGTGGATGTGACCGAGTTCCAGACCAACCTGGTGCCTTACCCTAGGATCCACTTTATGCTGTCCTCTTATGCTCCCGTTATCTCGGCTGAGAAAGCGTACCATGAGCAGCTCTCCGTGGCTGAAATCACTAACAGTGCCTTCGAGCCATCTTCCATGATGGCTAAGTGTGATCCTCGCCATGGCAAGTACATGGCATGCTGCCTCATGTACCGTGGTGACGTTGTGCCCAAGGATGTGAATGCAGCCGTGGCCACTATCAAGACCAAGCGCACCATTCAATTTGTGGACTGGTGCCCTACTGGGTTCAAGTGCGGTATCAACTACCAGCCGCCTACTGTGGTTCCCGGAGGCGACCTTGCCAAGGTGCAAAGAGCTGTGTGCATGATTTCCAACTCAACCAGTGTGGCTGAGGTCTTCTCTAGGATCGACCACAAGTTTGATCTCATGTATGCCAAGCGTGCCTTTGTGCACTGGTACGTTGGTGAGGGTATGGAGGAAGGAGAGTTCTCTGAGGCTCGTGAGGATTTGGCTGCTCTCGAGAAGGATTATGAAGAGGTGGGAGCTGAGTCTGCCGAGGGGGAGGATGGTGATGAGGGAGACGAATATTCTTGATTCTCGGCCTCATGAATATTTTTCCTCAGTAATGCTGTGATGGTCTATGAAAACCTTGTTTTCTAGTTTTGTGCTACCTAAAACTGTAATGTGGCTGTTTACTTTCCTACATATTTGCAATTTGGTGCTTCCAAGATAATGTCTAATAATTGTTTCGTGTGTTTCTATGACATGTTCCGTGCTATGAGACCTCACCAATATGTTGTGTTTGTATAACGAAATTCGATTATGCCAATCTGGAGTAGCACCGGGATATATCAGTGTTGCAAGAAACCTCTTCTTCCACGAGTGTTCTGTACACACTATAGCACGGAGGATAACTCGAGTGAGCTGAGTTCCGAGGACTGGGGCACGGGAAAATATCATCGAGACATCACTAGATGAAGAAGATGAATTAGGAACGAATGAAGCTTCTCTTCAAGGGTTCATGGAAACATCTCTAAACGATAGATTAGCTTCTTAGTTTTGTGAGAGAATGATCGGTGAAGAGACGTGGGGCAGCACGTCGTGGAAGAAGCGGGATCATGCTGTGATTATGTAAAGTGCATAGAACTATACATAAGAGAAAACCAATTTGATGTGGCGCTGCGTTCTTAAGAAGACTTCGTAATCTCTTGTTTTGCATATATGGCGAAAGTAGGGAGTTATCAAAACCCAATTTTGGATCTAATTCTAATAAATTCCAAGCTTATCAAAAACTCATTTTCGTCTTTTCAAATCATACTTCGTAACTCAGAACGGATATTGAACTCAAGACACATGAAGGATGAAGATCAACGATAGATGGCTACTAAATTATTGCAAAAGCCAAAATGAGGTCTGAATACACATTACCATATTCTGGACCCCAGTATTTACAAATCAATATATAGAGCAACCATGTCAAAGGAGTGGCTGATTAAGTTCATCAGCCTACAAACCGAATATATTCATCACGGCCTATTCTCGAGGCATTTCTACGAGAGCAGCTGAGGGCTTCCAAAGCTCAAACCTGAGCGCCTGTGCGGCAAGCAAAAGATCAAGGGCGTAGTGCTTCTTCATGTCCCCAACTCTTGCGAACCAGCTCTTGGCTTTGGCATTGTAAAATCCAGCCACGAAAAGCCAATCAACACTGATCCATCATCTTGACAAAGTAGGGTGCCAAAAAGGTTTCGCTGGAGATAGGCTAAGGAGCTGATGTGACGAGTGTAATCGATCGAGATATTCAGACTCTCAACGGAATAATTCTGGGAAAGACCACATTACAAATCTGGCAAAAGCATCGGTCTCCAAGAACTCAATATGAGCAGCCCTCCCGATCAGGGTGTTCAAGGTCCTTCCCTGGGAGGAGGTATCAAAGTTGACATCGCAGCGCATAAAGACTCTATGCTCCGATGAGGGAGCCCGTATTTGGTCCAAGCAATCATTCAACATCTCCAGAAAAATTTTGCCCTTCTTGGAGTAGTCAGAGGAGGATGCCTGGCACAATTCAATTCGTGCAGAATGATATGGAACATACCCATCCTGAGACATAAAGCAAATGAACACATTATCGCATCGTTTACACAAAGACAGATGCGTATACAGAAGAAGCATAAAGAAAAAGAAAAGAATTTCGTTCAATTCGAAGTTTTAAAGTGACAAAGGCACCACCTGTGGTGAAGATAAAAGGATAATATGCCGGAAACTCTCCAGTGTCTTCTGCTGAAAAAAAAAGAAAAGAAAGAAGATTTGAGACCTTTTGTCAATTATTTTGTTTGGTGATGCAGTGATACAGACTCCCAACACTTCATGCAAACCACAGACATGGATTTTCTTCTTTTTCTTTGGGCGGTGGGACAAGGAAGAGACAGAGAGAGTGTTGCTTGCAATACCTTACACAGTTTGTACAAAAATGTATTTTGGAGATCTACATCATCCGTGAAAGTAAGCTGATGAATACACTGGGTTCCCTTCAACTTCTTCAAAAGCCATAATCCCGAGTTGAACAGTGAGTTTGAACTGTAAAGATACCCCAAGTGTGGACCAGATATTGAAATATACGTATAAAGATATCTCAAGTATGGCTCCATAATGCCCTCTGCATCAGCGAATAGACAAGAATTAAAACTGGATCGTAAGTATGAAATACCACCAAAAGAAAAGGCATAAGAAAAGTACCAGTCAACGCAGTTCGTATAATAATGTTTCCAATAGAATGGCCAACAAAGCTCAGCTTGATATTTCTCAAGCTTCCTGACCTTGAAATTTTGTCCATTTTCTTCTTAAGGAAAGATATAACTTCCTGTGCCAACCTCTGTCCCATTTCTTTGAAGTCCCCAGATGTCTTATCTTCATTTACTTCAGACATGAGAAATTCAATTTTTGGATCTATCAGCAACCACTGATTTCGGACAAGCCGCAAATCAAGATGATGTCCCTATAAGGAAGAGGCAGATATAGCATGCGATCATGTCAGCAAAATGCTACTTCTTTAAGGAAAGAAGTAAAGAATCAATAACCATGATAAGCCAAATGAATACTTGGAAATGCTAAAAGCAAGTACAAATGACATACATCTTCAACATGGCTCATAAGCGCCAATTCGGTGACTAAGTATGTGAAAACTACTACAAAGTACATAAATATAAAGAAACGCAAAGATGATAACGACAAGAGCAAGGGACAGGTAAACATACCTGAAATCCATGCACAAAAACGACCGCCTTCAAAATGCGACCATTCTGTTGCGTAGATGGTTTTTTGGCAGCCTCGTAACTGGGTCCACCTAGCAAACCTGGATAATCTTTCAGATTCATGTGATTAAAGTATGAATTTACACTAACTGTACGTCTCGGTGCATTGACCACACGCTCCACAATTACTATTGGAATATGTGAAGGTTCTCCGAATATATGCATGTCCTGGATAGAACGACTGTTTATCTGTGAGGAAGGACAGCTGTTAGAAGACTGCAACCTAAGCACATTATAAAAGGCTCAAATATTGCACATAAGAGTCAGAGATCTAACCCTCATTTGGGCAATACTACGGCGGTGAAGATCAGCGCGCATGGCTGCACTTTGGGCAGGCTGCATCGAAACCAGAAGACATCAGAACCTGAAGCAAAAGACATCCTGGCCTGTACTTGAATCTGAAGAAATAATGAGTTCTAGTTCAGTACATCATCAGCTAATTTCCACAAACTTGACACTCTCCTGTGAGTTGGCTCATCAGCTCCACTGTGGATATAGTGAAGCGGCATCTCAACCTTTGTATACACCATCCATATCGACCATTCAGCTCTTCGATCAGTAGCCCATGCATCGCGAAGATATTCCATTATGCTAGTTTTATTAGCCCTGGAGATATACCATCAGGAAATAAGTTTCATAAAAGCACAATTACTAGGCTTAAGAGTTTAATTCTAATACGAGATATATAACTTGTCAATTTGACTATTCAAAATCTACTACATTTCTGACCAATCTGATGCAATGCTTTGAGAAATATGATCCAATGCTCCATCTGCAATTTCTGGTCTCATCCTAACATTGAGGCATTCGCCTTTCTAATGTGAACGTGGATGATTAATTTTTGCAAATTGCCACCTAGCAATTCAATTTCAAGTGAGACCACATTAAGGAAATTGGTGCCAGCTTTTTCATGCCACCAAAACTCAAGCAGGAACTAGGAAGTAAGAGAAACAAACTCAGGCAGTAAAGTCCCCCCAGTCCAATATCCCTGGCACACATAGGCATGCATACATGTCCCTTACATGTGCAAATTTGCAGCGTTGCCTGTGTTTCGTGTGTTATTAACCAAGCATGTAAGTACAGAAGGGAGGTTATCTGTTACAATAGCTTGAGAGATCAAATTGAAACCTTTAAGAAAGGTAAGAAGAAAACCTGTGGAACTTCAGAAAAGTATTCCACAAATAGAGCGCCTGGTTTCCCAACAAATGAAAAGAATGAAACAAGTCTTCCCTGGATGAGGAATGGAGCAATCCACCCATCCGCGTATCTACATTTTGATTTGCTTTCTGTTCACGAGCCAGCAGGATGCATCACAAAGGAAAAATGAAATGACTGAGTGCAACAATTATCGATTCTTCATCCTCTAAGAAATGAAAGACCCAGATTCAATTTTCAAAATACTATTTCGCAATAAATGGAGTACAGACCTCAATACCATTTTGTAGCTTATCAGGGCCCAAGACCTTTACATCTGCAATACCCAATTCAGCTCTCAGGTCAGTCAGTGTCTTATCATCTACTGCAGTAACATCTGTTAAATCTATAGGTCGGTCAATTGCTTTGCTGAGATTTTGCAGCTCTTCAACTAGTAGGTCCCGAGCAGCTAATAATCCTCTTAGAACTGTCAATTGTCTGTCATCAAAGGAAGACAGCCGACCTACAGCCTGAACAAAGACCAATTATCATAATCAAAGAATCGTGGTTTTATGATTTCGCAATAGATATTATTCAAATACAAAATTCACCGGCAGATTCATAATGGTCCATCAATGACTTGTATTTGTTCCCAAATATAAGGTAAGCAGTCCACATTCTCCAGCAATGGTGTGAAAACAGGCCATCGCCCGAACTTTTATAACACGACACCGCTTAACCAATTTTTCAATAGCCTTATAAGATACGCTGAAGATTCAACACTTCTATATGCATGGGATGATTTCCATGGCAACATATATGATCCAGAATTTAAGCAACTAATGGATCAGCAAACCTCATTCCTCTTTCTAAACTTTGAAGGGGGAACACAATGCGTTTTCGCATCTAAAATTTTCACATCCTTCTCTTGTAAAGGTAAAGCCACAAACTTCATTCCTCTTTCTACACGCATCCTCTTATATGTAACCTACATCCATGCTAATTTTCTTTTCTTACTAGCAAGTAGGCATGAGCATTCTCTAATTTGTCCTCGATTCTATCACAAACATGAAAGTTAAGAATAAGACTCACAAAAAAAAAAAAATTCAAAGAAGAGAGCACAGATGCCAAAAGAAACAAGTAAGTCTTTCCCCAACAATCTGTTCAGCATAAAAAATCCTTGGTAGAATCCCACTACTCAAGATTGTTTCTAAGAGTGTCCTCCTATGTCCTTTTATGTCAAGTTGAAAGAGAGAACATTCAAATTAAAAGGCCGCCGTAGCTCAATAAACAATTTTTACTCCTCTTGGGGACATTATCTTTATACACAGTATGGATCAATGGAAACAATACGGGCTCATTCAATTTGTATTTACTTCTTCTTCATACAGAGATCATCAATACATTCACAAACAACCCGCTAAAGCAAGCATACAAGCACAATAACCAGCAACCTACTCTCAACTCCACAAAGATCTTCACTTCATTTGCATAAACCGATGCAGCTACTCATACGTACACGACAAATCACATGCTATATAAGAAGCAACAACAGCAGAATTGACAAAAAGAACCAGACACAAAAGAGAAGGTAGAAGTCTCATAGAGAACCCCTTAGAACGAAATAGTACCTGACCAAGCCCACGAATATTTTCACCAGAAAGCTCTTCAACATTACGAGAATCTCTGAAAAAACATTTCAACAGATTAAGAAGGCAAAAGTATCAGTTTGCCAATGTAACAAATAACACAGATATACAAAAATTCTAACTCATGCAAAGAAGGATGATTACGAACCTGTTTACCTTTGGAGGTGAAACACCAGAACCAGATCTTAACAGACTGATATGCACAGTTGTATCAACAAGCACAGCATGGAAAGCATCGAAATGGACAGGGCAATATGAATGCAATCCTAGAAGAGCCTTCGGAGGTATTCGGAATTCATGAACAGCAGCAGCACAAGAATCCAGAGAAGCCTGCAACCCAGACCTTCACATAGTACACTACAATCACCTTCATGGTTCTATAAATTGCTCGAATCAAGCTCAATTTACATTGAACATTGCATATTGTAAGCACATGCAACAGGGAACAGGAGGAAAAAGACAAGGAACTTGTATTTTTAATTCAACTAGAACCAAAACTAGGTTGAATGACTAACCCGCTCTCGGATATGGGAGCATACATAAGCTCAAACTTCAATACTACAGCTGATGTGGATGGACCCTGAAAATTTTTTCAATACGAGCTATAGATGTGTTACTAGGTTGTTTACTCAAACAAGCAGCAAAAAGAAAGACAAGATAAAATCGGATTGGCAAAATTGACTACAAACCCAGGTGCAATGGCTCTCTATCCTCCATAGAAAGTCACAGAGATACGTTGCCTCTGTCCTTAACCTAAATGAGAATTTAAACCTCTACATAAAGCAAATGAAATAGTTCACAAACATCTAAGTTAAAAAATGGCAATTATCAGCATTTATTGACACATATCACCAAAAAATCCCCTGTTACAGGTTTTCATCTGCCAATGAATACTTCTCTTTACAGTTGATGATTCCACAACCAATCGACTTTCATTTGTTGCCAATCACACAGTTACTCCTTACTGCACGTAGTAGCCAACGGAACATAGACTTAGAAAGGTGAGGACAGGGAATTAGGTAACTTTTGTAGAGTTATTCACTCTCTTGGTATCTTATATTGCACTCGCCTTAGTTGCGATTAACATTAGAAATAACTACAGGAAATGCTTATTATTGGTGCTTTATCTGATAACTCTATTTAAATAAAGGGCACCTCCCCTTTTTTCCCATCTATCTTCCTTCCCGGTTTAAGTAACTACAGGAAATGCTTATTATTGGTCTTTTATCTGATAACTCTATTTAAATAAACGCGCCTCCCCTTACTTCCCATCTATCTTCCTTCTGGGTTTAAGTAACTTAAACGAATCACATTTTGTCCGTGTGTGCATCACTGTGTGAAAGAGAAGGCATGTTGGGGAGGGAAGGGAAGGAAAGGGAGCACCACCTCAAATTTACCAAGAGGTAAATTAAATGACACCATGATTGATAAAAGAACATCCTGCCTCGCATATTTGATCCGAAAGGGCTGTGTTGAGAAACTGTTATCTGTATCATTGATCCTCCATATACCATGTATGTCATCAGAACCCAAATCAGGAACTGCAGCACGAAAGAAAAGCCAGAAGGTCAATTGAGAGAGAAAACGAACAAAATGAACATCAATGGCATAATATTTGGTGACATATCCAAGTTTAAGCGAAAGAAAAGGTCTATGGGGTGGCACAAAAATAAAGGGCTCCGAAAGTATTATTATCAAACACTGCATTCAAGTAACAATTTAATCAGAATAAACCTCAGAGCAAAGATGTCTACAACTTCCAAAATGGCCAACAATTATCATCAATAACACCTAACTCAACTCCAATAGCATAATGTCACTGTTTGGTAAGTCTATAGGAACTGTTAAGGTACATAGAATCCTTAAATATAGCAGTACATTCATCCGCAGAACTTATCATTGATCATGATTCTAGCTGGGTCCATAAATCCTTTTTGCACAATTTAGCTCTTTGGATGCAATTTTAGGTGATATAAATCTATAAGGGGAAAGTTAAGGGAAACTTTGAAAGAATTGTAACTTTGGCAGCCGCTTTACTATTGCTAATTCGAACACCTAATGCATGCATCGAACCTAAAAATTTGCCACTTACTATCCGTTTGAATCTACTGATAGTGCAATAGGTCAATCCTAAAAAATTCACTCTTTTTCTTATGAAAATATCACCAATTTATGGTGGACTCCATTAATGTTCTCATTTAGGATGGTTAGCTTTGAAATGCATCTTCAGCATTTATCTGCAGCAAACAGATTCATTTCTAGAACTCTTCAAGACAAGCATAGATCAAAGAGAAATCGTCATAGCTTCTTTTGGGAAATATCAACAGAAGAGTGTGAAAAATAACTTTTAAAGCAATAAAACATACAATTGAGTCTTATATAAAGATTTCAAATCATGAGCTCAACCGAAACTTTCTAAAGTGTTCCAGTTTTTGGTTTCACATTAATCAGACATAATAAATGCATATTTGCGTGTATGCAATTAGAAGTTCCGCCAAAGAGAAAATGTAGTCAATGTGGTGAAAGCAGTTTCCAGAATAAAAAGTAACATGAAAAACAACAGCAGACACTATAGAATGCATAACTTACACAAAATGTTGCAGCAAAAAAAAAAGCCTTACACAAATTGCATTTAGTAGTTTTTCCTTCTTTTTCTTAAGAAAAAAATAACTTGAAAAAACGAAATACATTAAATCAGTAGCACAAACAGATAGAATTGAATCACAAATAACTAGTTAGTTTCAAGAAAACTATGACAAAAGAATATGCATGATAAGAGACAAGGCTTTCTGTCGTTCCGCTATCAAGAGTACCACAAGCAAGGAGCCAAAGACTATCATTTCACCACACCAGTGAACTTGAAGTTATAAAGACCAATGAAAGACTTAAAGCAGCAGGTCAGCCAATGGAACATGGGCGCAATTCACTAGTTAACAATCTCTTGTCGTCATTATCTAAAGGGATAATGGCACCACTAGTCCCCGTACTTCTTCAATTTGTTCAATTTCTTCCCTATACTTTATTGTTTTGCCAATGTGGTCCCTGAACTATATGTTTCTTTTTCACTTTGATCCTTCCGTGGAAATTATGGATAGAAATGCTGACATGGTAGACAGCGTCATCGCCACATCAGCATGCTCTTCCACCTCGTTGTTGACCTATATCAAAGAAATAAAATACAAAATATGAAAAAACTAAAATAGGAACAACGATCATGAGACACCAAGTAAAGTGACGGATGGTTGGTGGTGAGGGTCGCTGGCAATTGGGCCAGCCACAACCGTTGGGCAAGCACACGGCTTTGCTGTGAAGAAATCAGAGAGACAAACTGCATAAGGGTCGCACAGCCCCATGTGACCGCTTTCCAAGGGTCATGCGACAGCAGTGATGTGTTCCCTCGCCCCTGCCACACAGCCGCCGCAAGCAGCGGGGCCTCAACCCCTGGGAGTGGCAACAATGCTTGGGCCATTTTTTTGCATATTTTTAGTTTGGCAAGAAACACTTAGAGCACAGATCAGCTAATGATATGGGAGAAGTTTCTTGTTGATTATCTCATTGTCCTTATAGTATAATACATTCCATCCACTGTCTCAAGATCAAAATGTACATGAAACAGAAGACTTGTCTCATTTTTGTTTGATATTAATGACAAATATTTGGCAAGAAAGGAAGAGGACTATTTGACGACAAAGAGACTTCACTCTTCCTTTTCGTTCAAGACTTTATCATCTACTTGTTTGTCTGACCATTTGTTATTTTAGAAGAGCATTCTTGATGCAGGAACATCGTATTAGTTTAGTACTTTTAAGCATTTTCCTTTCATTGGTCTTTACTTAGGCTCTTGAGGTTAATAAGTGGTCGCAGTAATTATGTGACTTTTAATGATCTCCAATGGTTGAAATTTAAAAGTTATTATGTTAGATTAAGGGTTGAGATAGTCCTACACTTGTAACCTTATAAATAGGCCTTTATGTCACTTTTGTCATTAGTTTTTCTCAATCAATAAAGATAACTGATTTTTATAAACCCTAGACTATCTTTTCTGTTCCAACTTCCAACCAACTCCATTCAATTATTAATTGGTATTGGAGCTCCTTTTTAGGGTTTTTCCTACAGCAATTCTGACATATGTTCTTTTTCTATCCCTTTGCACACTTCATAAATGTTTGTAATAAACTATCTTTAATTTATTAATTTCTACTTATCAATAGACGATAGTAATATTTTGGAACAACTGATGTTTTTCAAGGTTCCAAATGAACCTAACATTCATATGCATAAGTTTTATCCACATAAAATGAATGCCTCAACACAGAATTTTGATAGGATCTTCAACAGCATCAGACCGGGTATGGTTCTAAATCAAAGTAAGATGCCATTTACTCTTACGTGATACGTGACTCAATGGTATGTTATCAGTGGTCAAGGTACAACACGGAAAGAACAATAGAATACCAAGGGAAATACCACGACACATCATGACGTTCAAGGAGAAATTTTGGCTTACAGTACAAAATTCAATGCTTTAATTTGTTTTGGGTTGCAACCTGTCACATTATGGTAAATTGAGGGAATGATCACCTATATATATAATTATATATATGTGTGCCAAAACAAGTCAACACATAAACTGGTTGATGCTCAAAAAGTGTTTGGCATAACCTTGTCTCTTCGGTGTATGTCTGGTCCTGCATGGAGAATATTTGCTATGGAAAAAAGCAGAAAATAATCGATTTAATCTTTGACACACCTTCATACTGAACCACTCTTGCTGGAGTTCCTGGTATGCCATGTTGGCTGTCCTCCCACTTCATAGTAATTTTAATTTGATACCACCTGCACAAAGCATGATCTCAAAGCTAAAGCACACTGTCCCAGATTAAATAAAGAAACCAGGAGATTATAACCATCAGTGGAAGTGTTCCATAGACACATACCCTTGTTGAAAAAGGTCCAGATTGTGAAATCTGTGGATGTAAATGGCAATCTCCTGCGTCGTGTCCATAATAGCCACCGGCTTAACCTTAGCCGGTCGTGGTTTGGCATCAGGTAACCTCTTCGCTGAATAACTATGATTGTTCAGACCAATAAACCACCCAATACGCCGAAACATATGTTATTCAGAATTCCGCAGTTTCGCATTCCACCTCCTTTCAGTCAAGCATCATATCTCCAGCTCCACAAGCCAAAAGATCAAACTATATTTTAAAACTCTTCCAATCACACCATATTTCCGAAAAGAGGATGGTGCTTCCTAGACTTGCACACCAATTAGTTCACCAGCAATCCCTCTCCCAGTTCACTCTCCTATTAAATTAATAAAGGGCAAAGGGGCGTTAATTAGCTTCCAGTTTTAGACGATCGCTCGTAGAATTAAATCGCAGCGCCTGGCGATGTCGATAGAACCGCGATCGGCGGCTGTCACGCCGCCACGACGAAATGCAGAACATTTTCAGCAAAGAAACCAACTTTCCTCAGGCCCATTGATCCGAACACTCGCTATCCGGATTCCCACTTCAAAGTGCCCCCCATTCACGCTCGAACCAGACCCTTAGAACAGAGAGAACACACAAAACAGGGCTCCCGCATCGCAGATCCGAGTTCGATTCGAAGGAACGACTCACCTGAAATCCCCCCAAAGTCGAGGTGAACTCTCTCGAACCCTTCAATCCCCCGGGAGTTACGCGCGGAATGCAGCAAAGCGCATCGCCGGATTCGCGGGTTTCTGGGTCCGAAAACCCTAGTCGCCGGCGCCGTCGCCGTCGCCGTCGCCGGCGGTAGCGGACCTGCTGGCGTTGCTTCGAAGGGACCGATGCGACTCCCGCTCGGCTTGGACTCGAGCAAAGGGAAGACGAGCGAGAAAGCGAGAGAGAGAGAGAGAGCGAGAGTATCGATAGATTAGCTTTAGAATTTAGGATGGATCACGGATCGCTGGAGAGGCATGAATAATAGCTGTGCATGTGTTGGGCGATTTCTGCGACTTTTGGAGGTGCGATTCTTTGCCAAACTTGAAGTGGTGTGGATGCTAAGTAGCCAAAATTTAGTCATCGTACCTTGAGTAACTACTACTTCTCGATTTTCTGTTGGAACTCGGAGATACGAGATTTAGATCTCCTGCTATCGATGTATTTTCTTTCGCGTTTTCACGATGTGGGCATTGGCCATCACGGGCTCGCGTGAAATTACGGGTACAAGGGGAGGAGGGACCCCGATGTCGACATATGATCCGCCGCTAGACTTTCTCACCAAGAGGAGGGGATTCGGGGTAAAGTCATTCGTGGCCGACTCCTGTTTTCGGAGACATGGGCCGCCTTTTGGCGTGGCACAAGGATCCCACCTCCGGAAGGTTTCTGTAGGGCGAGAGCCGCCATGAATCGAGACGGGAAATCTGCACACCAACCGAATAGTTTTTCGACGGACATTGAGAGTCAAAACATCGAACGTAGTATTGGCTAATTCCGACATTGCCTTGCCTTTATGTCATAATCTGCACTAAGGGACGGGGAATTGTAGCGCGGGGTATATCGAGTGATATGTGCAATAGGCATATAGATAGATTCATAGTATAATGTACTTTATTCATAGTATAAAATACTTTATTCATAGTATAATGTACTACTTAAAGTTGATCATTGAGCGGGCCTGGTCCAAACTTGGCCTTAAGGCTGGGCCTGAACTTTCGTCCATGCTCACCCAACATGAAATAGCCTTCCGATCAAGTCGAGCTTAGCTCGGGCTCAACCAAGCTGATCTTTCTCGTTAAATGTCATTAACCAAGCCCCTCCAAAAATACTTTGAATCTTATGGGAAATTGGAGTCTCACTGGCACATTTTTAGTGAGAAACTTACTAAGAAAGCCATAAATATATTATAATTGTGTCAATTCAGTCTTAAACCTGTCAATTTGGTCAATTTAGTCTTAAACCTTTTGATAATTTACTAGTTCGATCCATTGGTCAGAAATCGCTGACGTGAACTCCAACCGTCTTACGTGACGCCGTCAATGTTGACGTGAATAATTTTTTTTTATAATTTTATGAAAGTTTAAAGATTTTTTTTCTATTATTTCCTTTTTATTTTCTATTTTTTCATTATAGTCAAGGGTTGATTGTGGGTGGCGAAGTTGCCAGCGACCCTCACTGGCCAAGTGAGGCTCGACCTCGCCAGTGATTGCACTGGCAAGATACGACCTCACAGAGCGAGGCCTGAGCCCTTGGCCCTCGAAGAGGTAGCCACAACGGCGAATGAAGAGAGAAAAAGTGTTATGAAAATAACACTTTTCATGGAAAATGTTATATGACAAGGAGCACACCTAAAGGGGACCTCAAAATTCAAAATGGAACCTGAAATGAATACATAGATGAATATGGTTGTGATCAATAATACAAAGAAAATAAAAAGATAATTAATCAAGCTGTCTCGTCTCTAACTTGTTAGGTCATGGTTAGGGGTGAGCAATTTCAGGTTCCTTACAGGTTTCACATGAAACCTGAAACTTACCCTCGGGTACAAGTTCCAGGGTAGGTTCTAGGGTCTAATATGTTCTTTTTTTTTATTATTTCATTTTTACTTAAACAAAACGACGCAACAATACTAAACAAGCTTGTCATTCACTAAAAAGAATGCAAAAGATTAATTTTTCGATCATTACGGTTCAAATAAATATAATTAAAATGAGAAGTCATTGCATGAATCAATACTCGGGGTGAGCGGTTCCATGTTTCGTATAGGTTCCACCCATGATAATAGGTTTCTCATTTTTTGGAACTTGGAACCTACCCCATCACAGGTTCGAGGGTCGATTTCAAGGTTTACCAAGGTTCCACCTGTATTGTTAATTGAATAATTGTACCGAATCATCATATTTAACAACCACTACTTTCTACTATGATCCACTAACTATAGCTTATACTTAGACACATGAAAAATATTAAACATTAACAAGTCATAAAATGAAAGCTTATATTAGTGGTTTCAGATTATACACTCATCATCTAACACTATGAAATACCGCAGGATCACGCAAAGATACAGATTAAGAAAAAACACAAAAAACTTGTTCAGATTCCAGGGTCTATCTACCTAGAACCTGGAACCTACCCGTCGAAATAGGTTCCCAAATTTTTTGAATCTGAAATCTACCCTGCATATCTTGGAACTCGAAACATACAAGTTCTTACCGATCAGGTTGTTTTATTCTTGAACCATGCTCATCCCTAATCATGGTGACTTGGGGGCTCGAGGTCGACATGTGACCTCAAAATTCTATTGGACCCCATCGTACGTTTGTTCCTCATCTCTCCTGACCTTAATTTGCTTTTGTTTTGTTGCTTCCACGAGGAAATTAATATATTAAAAAGTAAAAAAAAATTAAGGAAATCAATATTGATAAAGAAAATTTGGCTCATGGGGTTGCCTTGCCTCGACTCGACCGACCCAAACACACCCTCTTTCTTCATTTATTGAACTTTTGTCACTCTCTGCCCACCATCTCTCTATTATAATAAGCTCATTCGAATTCCCCACTTTCGCAAGGAGTAGGCCGAATTTTTTTTTTTTTGATCCAGGATACAGATAAAGATTGCTCTGAAATGGATTTTCTATTACGATAAAGATTCCTCTGGGATTATTTTTATATAGATGTGATTAAATGTAAGAAAATAGATAAGCTATAAAAGCTACATTCAATCGAAGAAAAAAAAAGTGTCAGAAAATAGATGTGTAAAAATATATATTTAAGGTGGGTTAATGAATTGACGTTTCATTTAATGTCTAATCTAATGTAATTAAGTTTTGGAAATAGTTAAAAGATTGCTTCTGCGTCCATTATCAACAATCAGAAAACCTACTTTACATTCCACTAATCACAGAAGGTGGATGTTAAATGATGGAATTAAGAATATAAAACCACATATTGCATTGGAGTGAATTAAACTATCCAAAGTGATCAACCAAGTCTTTTTTGGCGCAACAATAATGAATAGATCATTTTTTTTTTTGGGTAGATTTTGATGGAGTCATATGTACACATACATGTGTACACGAGAATGCATAGGTACACATGTTTTGTCAAATGGACCGTGCATAAGTTCACTCATTAATTGCCACGTGGCCATAATGGCCCCAATTTTCAGATCTTTTCTCTTTTCTCGGTTACCCCTGCTTTCCTTCTCCCTTCGGCCCTCTCCTTCACCTGCACGGGGCGTCGACGTTCACCTACCCTCTCTCTCACCTGAGCTCGGCCTTTACGCCTCCCCCACCGTCGCCACCGGTATAGTTGCTATTTCTGACTAAACCGACGAGATCTGGCTGAACAACGCTAATGACAACCATGGATGAGCTGTGAGTCACTTGTCCCGAGCAATCGCAACATAATAAAAAATGATAACAGTGAGGTGTCTTTTAGCATAGGGGTTAATAGCATTCCCCAAACGACACCGAAGACGGCAATGGACAAGCATCGGTGTCGCTCGTGAGCCAGTCGTCCATGGCGGCTAGCGAAATCTTTCAAAAGAATCCCTCCTTGGTCCATGGTGGACGTGAAAGATGGTTACCCAGGGGATCAATAGCATGCCCGAACAGCGCCGACACAACGACCATGGATGAGCATGCTTGTGAGTGGATTGTCCATGGCTGGGCGATGATGCTGCAATCCGCCGTGAGCGTCTTCCATGGCCTCAAAAGGCAAAAAGAAAAGGAAGAAAACAGTGAGAGAAGAGAGAGAGTAAGGAGAGAAAAAAAAAATTCTGAAAGTGGGCTCTATTCAAATACGTGGCGATCAATGATTGAAGGTTAACGTGGCAAAATATGTGTACCTAATATTTTCGTCAATATAGCCGGACGCTATATAAGAGAGTTGGAGGCCCGACCCATACTTTATGCTTAGTGAACGTGAACCCATCATAATTAAAAATTGCCGCGAGAATTTGGTACAGATTCTAATCTGAAATTTGTCTGATCACTTGTCCAATTGATAACTACGTCAACAGAGGCGGTGATCCACGAGGGAATCGATACTCAGCAAAACCAACAGCGCTCGTGTCGTTTTCCTGCGGATATTGCAGGAATTGCCCAGGAAGAATCGCACAGTTCAGGAGTGCTGTCTGGGGTAATTTGGAGTTAGGTCCACATCATTTCATTTCCATCTGCCAAAAAAGGTTAAAAAATAAGTAAATAATTTTGAACATAATTCCTTGGAAAAAGATTACACACCCCACAAGTTGCCGCGGCTGCTATTTTAATTTTAAATTTAATTATATAGTTTTTATTGTTTGTCTGCTCTTTTTTGTTTTTATTGTTAAGATAAGATGTTTCTTCTCTTTGTATGCCCCCTTTGATCAAAGTTTTATCATTGCCCTAACAATAATTGCTACAAGACATATTTGTGTGGTGCGTAATTTCAGAAGGCAAATTCAGTGGCTGTGATAGATTGAAAAATATAAGGTTAAAAAAAGAAGGTGTTTGTCTGACCCCCTTGACATGATTTTTCCCGAATCGCACATTGAAATAGCTAAGTTGACCTAAGTCGAAACCAATTGAAGACTGCCCATTAATGCTCTTTGCTAATGCAAGATATGTTCATTCACATGAAATAGTAATTAAGGAAAATGTAACGTGGCCAAGATGTTTATCTCTCGGATGTATTTTCGTGTCAGAGTTTGTATAAAATTTGTTATTATGCTAGCTGTCTTGTACGAATAAGCATTTAAGGAACGTGAAAAAGGGGTAATCCGCTCTTCAAAAGAATTGACCATCGAGTCATGATTATTAATTACGCATCACATTCAACTGATAAAACAGCATGTAAGTCTCAATTATTTATTTTTAGCAAAATTAAGGGACGATGATACATAATAAAAGCACAAAACATACCCATTGGTATGCTCATTAAGCATGGATTATATTACACAAAGACACTCAAAATATTTTCTTTATGTAGATCATTAGCAATTAAATGTAGTGTACAACTGTACATGGGAAGCATGCAAGAGAGAGGACTCCATAAAGAGCACAAAAGTAAGAAGAAGGAAGGCAAAAAAGATCCAACCCTTATGTTAACATTAACAATAACATCCATGACATTCACTCTCACCTACCAAAAAGGGATTTGGGTCAAATATCTCAATCTCTTTCCTCATAAATTTATCCTCATCAATGCTCTCCTCCACATACATGCAATCGCAAGTCCATCTCCACCGTAGAGCAGGTCAATAAGTTTTCCCAAATAGAGAGAGAGAGAGAGAGAGAGAGAGAGAGACTTTCTGATATCTCCAAGGCCAAACAGCAAGATATAGCTAGGAACCGACTTCAGGCAGTGTCGAGAAGAGATCAGAAACAGGTTTGACGAATACAAGTTTGATGGAGGACGGACCGAGCCCTCGTATGAAGTGGGGACCAACGGCTTAGCACGCACACCATCAAAAGTGGACGGAGGAAAAAGAGGAAGGTAGAGAAGACCCAATTCAATTCCAAGTCCAGAACTTCCAAGTTGGTCCAGCTCTATACCCTCTTAGGGTGTTGCCTCTTTCTCTCTCTCTCTCTTGCTGTTCTTTCGCATTTTCTTATTTGTGGCAATCTAATCACCCATTCCCTTCGTTTTTTCCTCCCCTTTGGAGAGCCAGTCCAGAAACGGCTTAGAATTGATTAAATTTCCCTGAAAGGCCACTTCCTCTTGCCAAAACAAGCTTTTCACATCGACTTAGTTTATCTGCGCGGGTTTGCTTTGACATATCATATATATAGGCACTGCTAATCTTTTTGAGTGCAGTGTCCCAGTTGTCTCACTCCTTACGTCTCCTCTGTGTTCGGAACCAGAACCCCACCGTTCCCATTTTCCCCCATTAAGTTCTCAGAGAGAGAGAGAGAGAGAGAGAGAGAGGAGATGGAGAGAGAGACGATGGCAGGGAGCAGCTTGTATGTGGAGCAGGATCCTGAAGCTTTTCACGGCGGTGGTGTTCAGAAGAACCTGGATGACGATGGCCGAGTCAAACGAACCGGTATGAGCTGAATCATAAAGAATTATGTCGTTTGTTTTCTTGCATACAAATTGCTCCCTAGTCCTGTAATGTATTGAAATCTGGCTTGACGTGAGTTTTGACTGTTACGGGCTCTTTAACATTGTTCTTCTTGCATGCAATAAATTTCTTTTTTTTTGGTTTTTTTGTTCCTTTTTGTGAAGGGACGATGGTTACGGCGAGCGCGCATATAATAACGGCCGTGATCGGGTCTGGAGTGCTGTCGTTGGCATGGGCCATCGCTCAGCTGGGCTGGGTGGCAGGGCCGGCGGTCCTCATGGCCTTCTCCTTCGTCACCTACTTCACCTCCACCCTCCTTGCTGACTCGTACCGGTCGCCGGACCCCGTCGCCGGGAAGAGGAACTACACTTACATGGATGTGGTGAGAGCCCACTTGGGTAAGTAAAGACTTTTCAATTGGCAAAACCCATTCTTTCCACCTTCTCCTCCTCCTTGTTTTTAACAATTAGATTTGGGAAATTAGCAATGCATTTCCAGAGAAGAAGAGATGACTGTGTTTGACTGAGGATTTTACCAAGAGATTGGTTAATCACAAGCATCATTTTGCCATTTCCTAAAAGAAACCCCACTTCCCCATGAGATTGATAGAACCCCATAATTGAATTCACTTCCTTAAATTATTCAAATGGGTTTCATTAAATTCGCCAATTGAACGAACGAACGACATGCACCTTTTTTTTTTCCTTATAATTAATTACCTTTTTTCTCGAATATTTTTATTTTCTAGGAGGTAGGAAGGTTCAGCTATGTGGATTGGCTCAATATGGGAACCTCGTGGGCATCACAATTGGCTACACCATCACCGCATCTATCAGCATGGTGTAAGTACTAAGTATAGGATGGGGCTTGATTTATTATTTAGACCAAAGTTTTTTCTTTTCTGTTTCTATTTTTTCAAAAAATATAATCAATTTTCCAGGGCGGTGGAGAGGTCGAACTGCTTCCACAGACATGGGCACGAAGCGAAGTGCCAACCATCGAACTATCCGTTCATGATCATATTCGCGTGCATCCAAATCATCCTCAGCCAAATCCCAGACTTCGACAAGCTCTCTTGGCTCTCCATCCTCGCCGCCGTCATGTCCTTCGCTTACTCCTCCATCGGCCTCGGACTCTCCATCGCCAAAGTCGTAGGTAAAGAGAATCTATGTACTTCTGAAAGACGTTTAGGAAATTCTTGATATGATGTTAGATTGATTAGTAGAACGAGCTTCGGATGTCACATAATGAAATGCGGCAAATTTCGATGGTGTAAGGTGGGGAAGCTCACGCGCGGACGACCTTAATGGGGACGACAGTGGGGGTGGACGTGTCGGGATCGGAGAAGGTGTGGAGAGTCTTCCAAGCTGTCGGCGACATCGCTTTCGCCTACGCTTACTCCACCGTCCTTGTCGAGATTCAGGTGAACATCAAACCTTAATCTGTCAGTTCGACCATTTCTTTGCCTTTTCCATTTCGTTGTTTTAGCAGCAGAGAAGGCATAATATTCAGCTGTCCATAGATTTTCTTCTTCTTTTTTCTCACTGAATTCTGGACGAGTCCTATGGAGCGACGAGAGTCAACCCCAACGGTCTAAGCAAAAGCTCCTATAAATGAACAGCTGAAGAAGAACAGAAAGGATTGAAATAGGAAAGACATGCTTGCATGCAATTTGCATTGATGAAACACTAATCCGTTTCAGGACAAAGTCAAGCACAGTCATGAAAGTTTGGAGTGCGTGCCCAGCAATTCTGGCTTTCTTGCCACGTTTAGCATCTCATGCTTCTAGGGCTTTCCATCAAGTGTGTGTATACATGTAATAATACAACTGGAGTCACGATAGAAAACAAAGGAAAATAAAATAAAATATTTGTTATTAATGAAGAGTTGTGCAGTAGGAAAGAAAGTTGTCGTAAAAACAAAGAGATAGGAGGTTATTAGTCAAAGTAGGAATATCGACAATCAGGCGCAACGTAAGGCCAAATCATAGCCGCATGAAGTGCCTTGCCTTTCGGTAGTCGTCCTCGACAGGCGCAAGACAAAAAGATGGTTATAGCGCGCGCCCCAACACCCCCCACCCCCCCCCCCCCCCCCGACTAACCCTAATCAAGCTCCGTAGATCAAGAAAAGGCTGAAATCATAATGGCATGATCGAGTGTTTGTCGCGTGCGGTAACCTTTGGCATCATTTGTACACGTTCACGGTTAGCTAGTTTCTCGGTACGATCTGCATCGAATAAATCGATTTTTCAGGCGTTGTTTCGGATGGAAAGAAGGTGAGTTAACATTCCGTTTTGGTCTCGACTTCACGCTTTCTAGCAAATGGGTTGACAAACGCGGTTTAGGCGATGGAATGTGGTTGGTCTATGAGGGCAAAAGGAGGCTTCCTTTTTAGGGGTTGAAAGTACTATCCTGCTGTGAAGGAGATTCCTGTGGACCATGAAATGAAATGAATGGACCACGTCTCTTTCTTTTCTTAAAAATTTTGGGCCACCGAATGTGCCTTGGCCTATTAGGAATGAAGTGAGGTCCCATCTTGAAATGAAATCTTCTTGTCCTGCTTCTCTCTCTCCCTTGCTTTTATCATCAGTTGTCATGCAATGCAATGTCCGCACATCATAGTCACGACCTACGTGGTCACATGCAGTTGCAATTGTCACACTCTACACGACACCACAAAGGATGAGGCGATGAACTATTTGTGTTTGATGTCATTTGTGACGTGCGTTATCAACCTGTGAATGTTGCCTCAATAATTGAAGTCAACTCGCTTTAGCTATTGATTTGACGCACAGCATTTTGGGTGGATCGTCTCTCCTTCCATAATAATTACAGATTGGGTTTGACGTATAAGGATGAAGATTTTTCCGGCATCCAAACTATCCATGTAGGTCGGTCAGATCGAAAGATGTTCTTATCATTGTCCTGATGATCTTATATGCTCGTTATTAGAGACCCGGCAAGCTAATCGAAGATGTTGGTAGAAAAATAAAGATCGATTTTTCTTCGATACAACACTGCCTTTGTTACTAAACAAATGAATTTAGGCTGGTTGGGTTAGATACACGTTGAACGCTTGTGTCGTGTACGCCCTTTTTGAATTCGAGTATGTTATTTGGAAGATGATGTTTGATTATAGAGGCGTGTGCTGACATACGAGGAAAATGTGCTTGAGTAGGTTCGATTTGTATGACATTTGAGTCTTGAACTCTCTCTGCAGGACACATTGAAATCGAGCCCGCCGGAGAACAAAGTCATGAAAAGGGCTTCTCTCATCGGCATCTCAACCACCACTTCGTTCTATGTGCTCTGCGGTTGTGTCGGTTATGCGGCCTTCGGGAACGCTGCACCGGGGAATTTCCTCACTGGCTTCGGATTCTACGAGCCGTTCTGGCTCGTCGACTTCGTCAATGTCTGCATTGCAGTCCACTTGATCGGTGCTTACCAGGTAAACCATTCTATGGAACTTGCTAAATCAAATAGTTTTATGTTGATGATGTAGTTGGGGTGATAACACCAGGTCCTCGAACTCTTACTCAGTATTGAATTTAGTCCATGAACTCATTTTTTTCAACGTGGTCCTTGCACTTTTGAATATTGATGCAATGCGATCCTTCCATTAAATGGGCTAACGGAATTTGCTGATGTGGTACTTGCTGCCATTAACTTGCTATTAAGTATTCAAGTTGACATTTGACTTGTCGCATTATTGATGCATCTGGTGATTGGTCGAGTCTATAGAGGTAAATTGAGTTTAGGTAGCAATATATACGTCATAGTTGTATCATCTAGCGTATTACACGATACACACTAAGAAACAATCGCACTGCGTAAGCTCGTGTAAATCTGATTTGCTATTATTGTCGATTGAATTATGTACGGGACCTGCAGAATATCCTACGTACATATTTTGGCGTTTAAACATGAACATCGACATGCAGGTATTTTGTCAGCCCATCTTCGCATTCGTCGAGAACTGCTGCTCCAAGCGCTGGCCTAACAACACTCTCATAACGAGGGAAATCCCGATCCACATCCCCGGCTACGGCGTCTACCACCTCAATCTCTTCAGGCTCATGTGGAGGACTGCGTATGTCGTCGTGACCGCGGTCGTAGCCATGATATTCCCCTTCTTCAACGACTTCCTGGGACTGTTGGGAGCCGCCTCGTTTTGGCCGCTGACCGTCTACTTCCCGGTGGAGATGTACATCGCGAGGACGAAGATGCGCAAGTTCTCCTTCACGTGGACGTGGCTGAAGATACTGAGCTGGGCTTGCCTGGTCGTGTCGCTCGTCGCGGCCGCCGGTTCGGTCCAGGGACTGATCCAAGATCTCAAGACATACAAGCCCTTCCAGACACAATAAATGTAGCACAGAGCCCTAATGCCCATTACCCAGTTGGAAGCAATATTATGGTGAAAAGCTCTTCAACTGGGCAAATGGTTTAAATGAATGTTTGCTGCTTCAAGATAAGTTGTTGAGAATAAACTTTTTTCATATAAGGACCCGGAAGATAGCTCATGCTAGCAAGGTTAATTTACTTGCTAAGGATTTTGGAAACGTTACAACTTACTAGATGAAAATTGCATACCCAGATGTATAATCCTAGCAGGTTGTGCCATGTAGGACGGCCGGCATTCACATTAGCAATTTCCGGTCAAAATTGGCCAGATGGACTCAATTGGCACAAATGAAAAATGTTTAGCACTAAATTGGTACAAATGCAATAAGTTTACGACTTTTTTGATACTTTCCCCAAATACTACTTATCTATAAATATAGTGAAGGGCTAAAATTTAGTTAACTTCGCGGATCTTCGCTACCAATGCAGTCGAACAACAAAAACAAACTAGTCCAAGAGATTCGTTGAGCGACATGCAGCTCGCTCTAAAAATAATTCAAAGACAATTGAAATTCGGAGTGCGATTGAAAGGAATTAAACTAAATAGTACCTTACTAGAGCGAAAAATACCTTATTTTGAGATTTGTCCAAAGACCTAGAATCCACATTCATTAGGACTTCTGAAATCATTGGAAGGGAACTACATATTAAAAAACTCGACTATATTTGAACGGATATCGCACTGATGTACACATTCAAGCATTTAAGGTTACAGAGATTATGCAAATCGATGATACAATATAAAAATCAGCACAACCAGATTTTCAAATACTATATGATTAGTAATTCTCACAAATAAATTATCAGGGACAATAGAATCTCTCTACTGGACTTACAAATATTAGAAATAAAGTTTCCAAATGCTAAAGAACAACATCCAGATTTTCAAAAAGTAAGTCAATGACACAGAATAGTGTCACGGTCCAGAGATTTTCAAAGGACTCAGGATGATCCAAGACTTGGGGTTTCTGGTGTACTCTAGAATATTTCTAGGGGCAATATATGGGAAGTATATACCATTCTAGAGTGTTAGTTAAATTAAAGTGGGAAGTTCATCGATGGGAAGATAGAATCTTCACCGATATATTTGGAATTTCATGCAAAAATTTATAACTAAATTGTTAGATCTGAAAATTTTAGAACTGAACTGCCATCTGTACAAGAGGTTTAAGACTGATTGAACAATTTCCTCATGTTTCAAATTATATGCTTGAACAGGTGTCGTGAGCCCTCCTCCAGTGGGGGACAATGGACATTGATTAGGACGATGGCTTGTTGAGTGAGAGTGGCCAGAGCCTCATGTAAGGTTGTGTTAACACTTAGCGCGAGTCCTCCCAAATTCAATCGATCCGCGACATTTAGTTGACTCATTTCATTATGATTAACATGCCATTTCATTTTGGAAGTCGCCACTGACCTATTTTGGGTCGGTTAGGAGCTTAAGTTAAACGCGGGAGCTCATTCACTTCCGCAAAATAGAGATTTGGGGAATAGGAATTTGATTACGCTAAAATCTATTAGCACCCATACTTGGTACCTTTTCTCGTCATTTTGAAAACTTTTCAATCATGTGATCTTGCTTATTTTTAAATTCTAAGCACATCCATCTAAATGACCATGCTTCGCGAATTTGTACAAGAACATAAAACGATCACACAATTACAATGATATCAAATACAAAGCATGATATGTTAACATGATATAAATTACGGAAAGTAAAACCCATTACAATATCGGGCAAAGAATATCACACCGTCCTGTTATTAAGCCTGGGATAGGACCCCATGAGCTAACACTCAAAATTAAACGTGCAGCTTTCCTTTTTTAATTAAATGAGGCATGCTTCTTTCAAGCTCGGCCCCTTTTCTTCCCCCCCCCCCCCCCCCAAAAAAAAGCATGCTTCGTATAAAAAACTAGATGATGACCATGCAATACCAAATGTCATACTATACTTAGGTAACAAATTAATGCTGTTTACTAGTGCATGAAAGCCAATCTGCTTTTCATATTTTTAACATTAAAGGCAACCCTAACATGAGGTGTCACTGAAAATGAGATGGAACATCTCTAAGAGCACGATTTCTCACTAATTGCGAATTTCGCCCTTTTCTTTTTATGATTTTTTTTGCCATTTACGTTTATGTCCATAATAACATGATTTATATGTCTAAAATATACTAAGACGCGATTTATATCTTTATATCCATAACGATATAAATAATCCAACAACGATAAGACACGACGACGGTAGGGATGCCCCGGACCATCCAAGACCCTTAGGGAAGTCAAATGAGGACTCCAAGCCGGGTTGTCCAGCGTGCTAAAAGCAAGCTAAGAGTTGTTATTTGCACTCTAAATGGACCAGATTGGACACGGAAATTCCCAGACGCGACAACGGGCCCCCGGGGCCACCTCAGGACATAGGGAAAAGGCATCTAAAGCCCCTTAACGTGCTGAACCAGTCGCGGTTCAGCAAGCATCGGGGGTAGGCAAGAGGTCCGCTAAGGGACCGAGCTCACAAAATGATCATACAAGCTTCTACGATGCAATTTTGATGGCAAATGGACTCCAACGAGCAACTACATCATGATACGAATATAAATAACCTGGACGACGAAGGGAATGGGATTAAATGTTACACTTGGCTCTCGGCCACAGCTAGATCCGAAACAAATGTACGAGATTTTAACTCAAAAGATGAACAAAAATAAGAAGACAAATACTAGAGGGGCACGGCTACACGAGGAAGGATTAGTGGATCACACATCCACGCTTAACATGCATTTAGATTCACATACATGCAATATACTAAATGAAACCACATAAAGAGAGTGACATTACCAAGTTAGTGGATAGTAGTTAGAGGCAATAGGTTTGCAACGCCCACGACGAGGCGAACCGCTGGACCTTGGCTTTAGACAACAATCTAAACCCGGAATCCTCGGCGAACGACTTAAAGTCTTAGCACAAGAGAGATAGGACAATCCATACCTTAGGTGAGCAAGGCGGGGCAGTCACAACTCGGGAACACACGTAAACATACACGGCTTAGAAGGGGGCCTACGACCTAAGGGTACTTTGGGGGATTAGAGAGAGAGAGCAAGAGAGAATTAAGGGAGTCTAAGAGTTAAATGAGCCAAAGAACCCTAAAAAAATGGCTTGAATGGCCTTATGTAGGATTGGCCTTGGGGACTTTGTCCAAAGGTCCTATCCAATGGCCACAGTTTCAAGTCTATTACCCAATGTTTATTAGCGCCCTCAAGATTAGATCAAGTCATCTAAGAAATCCTGGTCCCTTGATTTGCTCCTTAAATAAAGGGGGTCACATTAAGTCATTCAAGTCAAGTTCAAATCTCTTCAATCAAGCCCACATGGACATCCCTTGATTTAAGGGACCTTGTTGCCCACGAGGAAAAGTCGGTCAACTCCAAGGCAAATTGTACAGTTGCGCAAAAACAGCGAGTACGTACTGGTTCGTTTGTCCGTTTTGGCTGAAATTTTAAGAGAACTGAGTTAACAACACGTCTACGAAGCTTGTTTAAAAAATTTGCGCCGACAGGATATTGGGGGAGGCCCTACATTATCATTTTTCACAAAGCGGCTCTGCTAACACCTTCTCAGAAAAAGCCAAACCTGGGAAGCTACACTTGGAATCAATGCATGGGCCATATACCATTGGAAAATAGACTCAAAGACGCCCATTGTAATACCAAGTTTGTAATTTTTCAAGCTCGTTTGGGCCTTCAACCGAGAAGGAGACGCAGAGTAAAAAATTCATTAAAAAAACCGGTTGAGTTCGGCTGTGGGATTTAATTTGCCCGTGGGCTTTGGGGCATTTATTTGTCAAACTCTTTTACACTAGGCCTAACGTCTTAATGCTATGATGTCCGTAGTGCAAAGTGCAGAAGAAACCTGTTGGAAGAACTAAGTGTATGACGACGGAACGAAGATGATTTTGATTAGGGGTCGAATTCTGACATTATCCGCGAACTCGATCCCTAAACTTTGTGGGATGCATGACTGGCATATATGAAATGACATCTAGGTATTAGTGAAGTCCAATACCTCTAGTTTTGTACATGTAGAAGAAATGCAATGAGAAAAATGAATACAGAGTCATGTAAACTGATTGTTGTTTGTTGTGGGTAAAATTCCGTTGTAATTGGGAAACTTGATTCGTGAAATGATTTTCTTTAGAAGATGCGTGTTGGGTTTGCCGACGAAGTCATGTGTCAACAACAGTTAGCTAACTTGTTAGAGAAGATACATCGTGTGAAGTTGCCACAATATCAAAAGTAGCCTCGTCATCGCCAATCGAAATGCAGGTTGCCAGTAAGAATAGGAAGAAGGCGCAGACTAGCTTGAAGAATCAAACAAAAAGTAGAAAATTAGATCTCCAACTTCACAAAATATAGACAATTGCATACTAGACAAACATGATCCAAAATTACAAATCAATTACTCAATGAGATAGATGAAGATATTTTATATATATATATATATATATACACACACACTCACCGGAATAATAGTCAGATGTATACAATGAAAGAGAAAAAAAACATCAAGAAATGTGGCTCCATTGGAGATCAATCAAAGAAAATACAGAAAAAGAAGAACATAACACGATGTAATGTTTGAACAAGAACCCTAGTCAAAGAAGATTTGGACAGAAAACAAATGGAGAACGCCATCTCGAAGAAGATATTTCAAAGTTTCTAACATAAATGCTCGAATAAAAGCTGACTTAGGAGAAGAGTCAGAAAAAAAAAGAAAAAATGTAGAACGCTAACACGACAAAATAACGAGGGTAATAAGCTTGTTGCCTCCCATAAGGCATATTTATGCTAAGGAATTAAAAATGTGGAGCATTTGATAGAATATCATAACGTATTAATAAAGAACATAAGTAAAACCACTCCAACAAGTTTCTATAAATGTAAATCCGGTCGTAATTGTGAAATAGATAGATAACCTATATTAGGAGTTTTCAATATGTCCGCAAAGGATGACGAAGAAAATGGTCAAATTTTGATTGGACATAATATTTCTGTACATACGATTAACTCGATTTTTGCACCTATGGAACCAA